TAAAATAACAGGTTTGGTCTTGACATTTAATGATACGAGTCGGGCTTGGGCTTATTGTTAGTCGGTTTAGTCGTTGTGCCCACGCCTTAGAGGGGGGGGGGTGAATAAGGCGTTTAAAAATCTTTTCGGAGTTTGATAAAAACGGTGTTGGCAAATGCGGAAGCAATAAGTAAAANCCGATTTTATACTGGTTCGGGAACTCCCTACTCCAGTACCTTAAGGCTCCTCCTTAAGGATTTCCGAATCCACTAAGTCTCGGTCTCTTGAACTCCGTCAAAGCACCGCACTAGTTTGGCAAACAACCCTTGCCAATAGGATTCACTCCGAGATTTTACAACGGCTATCTCGTACCGTTCCCCCAAGGATTTCAAAGGCTATCCTTGAACCTTTACCCAAGGATTTATACGGCTATCCTTAACCGTTACAACGTGAGAATTTAACGGCTATTCTCGACCGTAAGAAGGTGTGTTTGAAAAACACAAACAAGAGTTCTACACAACGGCTTGAATATAAAAATGAAGAATTAGCCGGTGTAGAAGACAAGTATACTCTCTCAAAAATACAATTTAAACTTATGAATATGAGAGTATATAACTAGAAACACAAGCTCAAAGTGTGTGTATAAAAATCAGGAACTTTAAGGCTCTTGAAATAGCCAAAATATAGAAAATAATTAATAAAGGAGTGAACACACTTAGGATATTTAATTAGGATATTTGGAGCTTTTTTTCTTGTTCAAATATGAAGTATTAGGCCTATATTTATAGTGGAAGATGTTAATTAGCCGTTAGGAGGTGATTAGAGTTGAATTAATTCAAAAATCAGCAATCAGGGATAGTGTTCCAACGGTAACGGTACCCTGTCACGGTAGCTAGGTCCCGTACGGTAGCTAGGTACCTTCTCAGGCCAAAAACTTTCTGGCGGTACCTATACACGGTAGGGGGGTCCCGTCTATACGGTAGGGGGTCCCGTCCATACGGTAGGGGGGTCCCGTCTCAGATTAACTCACATTACTCCTTACGGTACCCCTCACGGTACCTAGGTACCTTATGACCATTTTACAATTTTTTTATTTTTGTCTAAATCATTTCCAATTTTGTTTAAAACCTTTTGGATGTTTGAAAATGATTATAAAAGGGTTTTAAAAATATTTTGTGAGTGTCTTTGAGCTTGTGAATATAGGTATATAAAATCATATCCTTACATCGGTGTCTACCTAAATTCTATGCTAGTTTAGTGTTTCGACTTCATTCTTGAGAACCGAATCTTAATGGATTCTTGTTGTACCTGAAACACTTAAACAAACGTCAAGCTCTTATATTGTTTGTTAACATCAAAACATGAGGATTAGCAAACCAAGACTAACACTTATAAATGACAAATTGAATATTTCAGAGTCGGGCTTAGATTTATGCTTAAGCCCACGGGTCGGGCCAGCCCAAATGAATTAGAATATGTACTATTAGTACAATTATAATAAAATAATAACAACAACATTAATATTAATAACAATAAAAAGAACAATACTATTTCAAATTATTATAAACACACAAATATACTTCTATCGAGAAAAAAGTAAATTATAAGTATATATCATAAATTGAATATATCATTATTACTTCGTATTGTTTACTATGTATCACACATTGATAATGAAATTCTAATAAATAATATTTCGTAGTTCGTACTCCGTAAATGATATAAATATCAAACAAAACACAATTTATACTTTCTCAGTCCATAAATAAACTTATCATTTATTATTCACAAAATCAAACTTTATTCACATTATTGGCCTATTTTCGTCACACATTTGATAAAATAATATAATATGTCACCTCTAGTTTTGTAGATCTTTTGATATAGTTTTTTAATATGTAATTTCTATTTTTAAATTTTACACCATTATTAATATAAAAGAATTTGAAAATAACTTCAGTCAAACATCGTAACGCGCAACGAGAAGTTTATTTGTGGACGGAAGAAGTATATTAATTGTTCTTTCATTTGCTAATTATAGTTATTATATAGCGTAATATAGCGTCTTGCCCCTACCCCAGATTCGGCCTGGGCCCCACTTTGATCAGGTATACTTTCGGTCTTAAAAGTTGTTCATGTTTTGATTTTTTACTAGCAGTGACACTCTTTGATAATAACTTATGAGAAAATATATGAAGTATTGAATTGTAAAATAAATTCAATATAATTAGGTTCATCCTAAAATATAATTTTGATATATGAAATTTTTATAAGATTTATTTACTTAGATTATGTTTCATTTAGGGAATTGATATTGACATTCCAAATACTACTATATGCACTCCAATCTTTATCGAATTTAAACTTTCTTCCTATAATGCCATTGCGTGTATAATACTTCGTTGTTTTTACCTAAGAATATTATATTACTTCATTGGTTAATTATTTAACTTTTATTGATTCTATGTGTTAACAAAAAATATCTATGCATCATACAAAAAAAGTTTATTTTCCTTGAATCCGTCATAAATACTTTTTTCAAACTCTTTTTCAAAAATAACATTTCCATCTCAAATTAATTTATTCTCTTATTTTACGGAGACTAAAAAATACTGAAAAGATATTAAAAAGGTTGAATAGTAAAAGAGAGTTGTTAGAATTTATTTTGAAAAATGAGAAAAATGTCAAACCACATATTCTTTTCTATAAACAAATTGAAAAAAATAAAAAAATTATTTTTATGAAAAAAGAGAAAACTCTTATGAAATACTCCGGTAGTGTATATAAATTAAGTAATAATGATATGATCTAAAACCAATTCCAATGACAAACATTTCACTTGTCAAATTTTTTTTTTAAATTTTTCGTTAATCTCACTGAAGTCAATGTGAGAAAAAAAATTGGGGAAAATGTAAAACGAAAAGTAATTAGAATTGTAACATTTTTTGAAATGTGAAGTGGTAATCCCCATATATTTTCCTTCAACATACAAATTATAATCTTTTCATACTACATAGGCCCCAAATTAGTTTTTTTCCACTTTAATTTCAATGATATATATTACAAAAAATATTTTAAAAAAATGTTAAAAGAAATGTAAGTTGTTAGAATTTGGTTGGATGAAATAATTACTTTAGACTATATAATCCTCAGTTTTCTCACTTTTCAAATAAATCCTAAAATAACGCACACATTTATCTTTCTTTTTTAGAAAATAAAATGTAGTTTAAAATATTTCTCTTTCTTATAAAATATCCAACTACTCATTGTCACTGTTAAACAATTTTCAATATATTTTTTTAAATCCCTGTAAATTCAAAGAGACCAAATTAACTTGAAACAAATGGCTAATTTTTTTCAAAAAACAATTGAAAAAAGTGTTAAAAGTATTTAGGGAGATGAAAACAAGATAAAGAGTTTTAGGATACTGATATTTTTTTATAAAAAAATTAATTAATTAATTAATTAATTAAAAAATAAAGTAATACTCCATATAATTTTTCTAACTATGAAGAATAAAATATTGTGCACAAGGGCATTTTAGAGAGAACAATAAAAGAAAAAAAATAAGTGGAGTGCATCTAGTAATTATTGGAGTGTCAACATCAATTGCCTTAATTTATTGTCAAAAAAACAGAAAGAGTTTTTAGGATGGAAGGGAATACAAACCAAAAGACACCAAACTTATAAAACACCACAACTAGAACACAAACAATGGCGCCAGTCCAAATAACTACCACAAGTACTGTAATTTTAGATTTGCAGGCGCTCTTATCTAAGGTCATGTCTTCGGTAAGTGTTAAAAATCATAAGAGCATGTGCAGTGGCAATGAAAAGAAATGCATTGCACTGCTACATCAACTTCTTCTTCTCATATCATGACATAACAAAGATAAAATGTCATGCTTGGTGAGACATGTGTGTGACACTTTACCCTTCTTTTTTCTTCTTTTTTTCTTCTTTTAGTTAAGTTTTTTTAAAATTTTTTTATGAAAAAAATGTATACTCCCTCTGTCCTAAAACGTTCTTTCCACTTCCCCTTTTTTCTCCGTCCTAAAACTACCTTCCCATTAGAAAAAAAAAATGACAAATGACATTAATACCATCATGTATTTACATCAATTATCTTCTAACTCTATATTGTGAATGATTGCAAAAAAAAATTTCAAAAAATCTTTTTTAAGGAGGGTAAAATTTGAAGTCAAAGCCAAAAATTAAAAATGAGGAAAAGTCGAACTGGGAAGAAAAATTAGGACGGAGGGAGTAAGAAAGTAGAATAATTTTTTTATAAAATAAATAATAAAAATATTTTTTATGTTTAAAAAATAAAAAAAATAAAAAAAGTGATAAAAATAATAACTTGCAACTGTAGAGCTTGTCACTCAACTCACTTGCTACGCGCTGACCGGACTATTTTTGATCGCTTAAAATGCTCCACACCACCGTGTGACATTCCATTTTTACCTCGTCATTGTTGATACTCTACGCTCACATTTTTTACAAGAAATGACGGATCCGACCCGACCCGACCCGTTTGAGAAACGCGTAGTAGAGTGCAGTCGTCACCGGTCAAACTGTAATCCACTGTTCACCTCTGCTTTTTATTCGCTTTATTTACGATTTTAGGAATTATTACTCCCCACTCCACTGTAATTATTAATTTCTCCGGCCTTTCAAAATCCAGCTAATCTGCCACCGTAAACCGCTCGGGACATTCGACTCCCGAGTCCATCGCCGTCGTACACGTGTCCGCCGATCTCCTATTATTGGGAACTCCCAAACCCCTCCGCGGGCCCCATCCCATCTCAGACGTTTGTCATTTCTTGGAAGAAAAAATTTGAAAAAAAAAGAAGTTATTTTTAGACTCGTCTCGCTCCTTCATATCTGACAAGTGCGATGGACGGCCCAGATTGATCCTCGCTGGGCACCACCGATGGGAAAGTCTGAAATCGTATCCATCGAGTCCTAAGTTGGCCTAGGCGTTTGTCCTGAACTAAAAAAGCCTCTTAGGGTGCGAGTGAGCACACCCAAGAACTGCCCAAATCTTAAAAAGCGAAACAAATGAGAGAGAAGTGTAGTAGGGAGAGAGATGTGGGAGGATTTGTGAGAGAGTGTGTGAAGCTATAGGCCAGTAGAAAGAAAGAAGAAGCAGTGGATTTCTTACCATTTGAGGAAAAAAAGGTATCTTTTTGGTACTGAAGAAGAGGGAAGAAGGGCACGAGGAGGGGGGAAGAGGAGTTTCGCCTCGTATGCAGAAAGGTATCTTGGAGCTGCCCCCAATCGTCTTTCTGTGTTGTACTGTGTCTTTATCAAAATCTTGGAGCTTGAGTGCCCAATTTCATCTTCTTCTTGGCGTCTTTAGTTCAAAAAACGCATAAGATTGGATTTTTATGGAGTTTAACTGGTTGGTAAAAAAATGGGAGGGGAAGCTTTTTGCTCTCCATTGCTCTCTGCACATAGAATGCTGGGTTTTGGAATGGCTTTAGTTCGTTTTTTTGTTTTTGTTTTACCTTTCCTCCTCTCCGAGCTCCTTTATTTTGTGGAGATGACATTTCTTCTCCTCTCTATGTGACCCAAATTTCCATTTGCAGAAATAGAAATGGCTTTGTGGGTTTATATGGCTGGATCCCAGATTCATGTGTGCTACCCCATTGAGGGTTTGGCTGCATTTAGTCTGTTTTCTAACAATTCAGAGGATGGTTTGTCTAAAAGTTTATGGCAGCTGCCATTAGATACTCAAACTCTCAAAGAGGATGGAAGAAGTTAAGAAAATGGTTATAACATACATAGAGTCTGAGAAAAAGGAGGTTGTTAAGCCATAAAGGTTTAAAACCTTGGATGATTGAATGGAAATAATTTTATTGATCACGTGCTAAAACAAAAAACAAATGCTTTTACCAAATGTGTTACTGCATTATTCTTTAATTTGTTCCAAATTTGCACCAGTGCTGGCCCAGATAATGTATTTATTGCTCACTTGGTGAGCACAAAAGAGTTAATCATTCCGAGACCACTTGTGTTATTTTGTTTCCTTTCCAACATAACACTTGGACTTTTTTTTCTATCTTCCACTCATACTGGTATGAGTCACTAGAGCTTTGACATAGGAAATGTTAGTGCTTATCTGAGTTTATTTATGTGCTCTCTGAGCAAAAATTATTCTCTGCAATTCTGCAAATGAACTAGATTTCCATGACCTCTTTCTTTTCTTTTCTTTTTTAAAATTATTATAGCACGTGCAACTTTTGCTTCATATTTAAAACTGATCCGTTCCCCCCGGAAAAAGGAACTTTTACTCATTTTGTGTACGATGATTGGTTATGCTATATATCATCAAGATGGAGTAAAGGTTGTCAACTATACTTTTCTTGTGAGCTTTGCAGCTAAAGGAGATCAGTGTTCTAAAAGAGCAATTTCAGCAAGCTAGCGAGAACATGCTCCAACTAAGAGAAACCGATGCTCTTGTTCTGTTCTTGTCCCTAGTGGTGGTTTGTCTTGTTCTTTATATCTTACTTGGGAAATGGAACGAGGGTGGAAAAATGAAAGGCAAGGCAAGTCTAGTGGCTCAACAAAATGCTGAAGAAGATTTACAAGTAGAAGACATGGCTGCTGCTGCTGCTGTCTTTACTCCCCTACCTGTACCTTTGCCGAACATTTCTTTTTATCCGTATGCTCCTTCATCTTATCCAGTAGACTCACATAATCAGCATGCAAGTGTGCCTTCGCCGAATAAGTCATCTCATCAATGTGCAAAGTGCTACAGTCCCTCAACGACCCGCTGTGCTAGATGCAAGTCTGTTCGCTACTGGTATGAGTCAAAGTTTGTCCTTGTTTTGCAAGATATTTTGTGTGTATCATTTATGCTTTGTATGGTTGGGAGAAGAAAATAAATGAAGAGAAAGAGAGAAGCAAGATGGTTTGTTTTAGGTATTGTTTGGAATGAGAGAGAAAGGAATTTTTTTCATTCTCTCCCTTCGGTTTGATGGGAAAAGTGATGATAGAAATGATAATATTTTAATAGGACTCAAATGTCCTTAATTGAGTAATATAAATTCATAGTCTAATGGAAGGGTGGTAATTAAATACAAGTACACAGCATAAAATATTTGGGCATTTCTTCTAATTTTCATTGCAGGAGTGAAAAAACTGAAAAAAGTATGTGGGCCCCATTTTTCTTCCCAACCAACCTTCTTCCTCTTATGTACCAAACAGAAGATTTTTGTTATATCTACTCTCAACATGTTTCTCTTGTACTTCTTTCCTACCAAATTCACTGTTAGGAACTCACACAGCCACATTTAATCTTCTCTTTTCCCTTTCCTCTCTGAAGTTCATGCTATATTATGAATTGGAGGAGATAACCAAGCTAATTATTTCAAGTGATAATATCAATGCAGTTCGGGGAAGTGCCAGATTCTCCATTGGAGGGAAGTTCACAAACATGAGTGCCATCTTTTGGAAATGAACAGCAATGTTTCATCTCCTAAGTGCACTTCGACGGAAGATCCTCCGGAAAGGAGCTTACTTGATAGTAACATGAGTTCACAGTCTGTTGAATGCAATGCCAAGCAGCCTAGGTCTGAGAAAGACCCTTCTGACCATATCACTGGGTCTCCTAAAAGCACACAAGTTCCTGTAGATTCCTCTGAATCTGCATTAAGGCAGAGAAGACCTGCACACAGGAAAGCTTCTCGGAAGGGGAATAAAGATTTGACGAGAAGATTAGAAGGAAATATATCAGAATGTCCTGACCAGACCTCCAGGAGTAGAGCTAATCCATCAACTTCGTCTTGTACAACTGCATCATCAGATTTTCCAACTAGAAATAAGGTCATTTTTTTCTCTTTTGAGGGATGTAAGGCTTTACATTTCTGTGGCAGTGATCTCTTTATAATTATATTTTTTTTCCTTTTTTATGCTAAACTGCAGTTAAGAGAGAGTGACTCTATGCTTTATCAACAGCATAGCTTTCCCAGTGGAAACATTGGTAACAAAAGTACAGCGCACAACAGTTATAATATGTCGCCGAAGCAAAATGAACATGATCCCCGGACAAAAAATCACCGTGGCAGGTCAGATGCACTGAATCCAGAGAGTCATGAGACAAATGTATGTGAAGTTCAAGTAGGCACGAGTGACAGAGAAGACGTTCTCTCTGGAGGACTTGGTTCTCAAGGTATGATTGCAGGCACATACTCCTATTCTTGTGAAATGGGTGCCAGCTGCGCCACTAGGCAAGCCAATGAATATAAATTAAGAGTATAAAGAAAAGAACTTTATTTGCTTCTTTTGCATGATAAACTACTTGTGATGCAGGGAATAATAAGATGAAGGAGATAACTCCTCAGGGACGCAACGGGGTTGCGAATATGGGCATCATGAGAATGTTTGGTCTAATGAAGTCATCAAAAGTAGACAGACAAGAACATTCAATAGTCAAAGCTGACAGGCACAGGAAGTTAAAGGTTTGCTTCTTCTGTGCTTTGCATTGAGGTCAAATATTGATTTGTTGGATTACAAGCTTGAAAAAAATTAGTCTACTGGCAAACCAATGACCATCTCACTATCTCAGTTAAAAGTAATACATTTTGACTTTTACTTAGATGAATAAATTTGGATTTGATCTCATCAATGCTTTCATCATAATATGTATAGATGCTATTTCCCTATGAAGACTTTGTGAAGTACTTTCAATATGAAGCTCCAAATGTGTCGCCCCGAGGACTAATTAATTGTGGGAATAGGTATAATACTATTGGTTCATTTTGAAATCCAGTCTCTTTGTTATAAGAATATAAACTTTTGAAGAAGTTTTTTTTATTGAAAGTTTCATTACATATCATTATGGCCTTGTACCTTTATGCTTTCGGGGTTCACTTTGCAGCTGTTATGCCAATGCTGTCTTGCAGTGTTTGACCTTCACCAAACCTCTATCGGCCTTTTTGCTTCATCGATTGCATTCTCAATCATGTAATTGTGGTCTTTGCAATTTTCTGTGTATCTTTTTCTTTTCATTTTTCCCTTTTATTTCTGTGTCTTTTCTATATTGTGATTTTTAGAATAGAAAAATAATAATTCTTTCTGTACTTATGCACTGATGAACCAGGCCGTGGTAGAGATTGGTGCCTCATGTGTGAACTTGAGCAGCATGTGATGATGTTAAAAGAGAGTGGGGACCCGTTATCTCCCAAAAGATTTCTTTTGCCTATGCGAAGCATAAACAGCCAGATTGGAAATGGAAGCCAGGAAGATGCACATGAATTCTTAAGGTTTAATATAAAATAAATAAAAGAGAACTACAAATGATTGTGAGTTTTGAGAGAATGGCTATGTTTGGTATCCATAATCATCTTATTCTGCATATTCTTTTATCACCATAATAAGTACAAGTATCTATTTGTCTTACACACACACACACACACTCTCTCTCTCTCTCTCTCTCTCTCTCTCTCTCTCCCCCTCTCCCCGTTTCCAAACCAATTCCACACTTTCTATTTTTGGATGTCTAAATATCAACTTTGCACTTCTCTGTTTTTCCTTTTTGGAAATTTATATGTATGGACAGCTTTTGTTTCGAGTACTATTGACTTTATTACAATGTAATCTCTTTCCATATATACTTTTTCAACCAACTGTAAGCACATAGAGTCAATGTCCCTCACTGGGGTTTGAACCTGTGAACTCCCATTTGGCAATGTATGGACAACTTTATTTATATTTCTTCCATATGGATTTCAACAACACACTTTTAACTCTTCACAAAAAACTTTCACTTTTCAACAATTTTCAACTTTACCTTGAATATTTTGTTTTCTGGTTTATGCAGACTTTTTGTTGCTTCAATGCAATCTATATGCTTGGAAAGTTCTGGTGGAGAAAAAGCCGTTGAACCTAGACTGCAAGAAACAACTTTTATACAACACACTTTTGCGGGACGACTAAGATCTAAGGTTCTTTTATATTTTATTTACCATCTTCATGCTATATATCCATATCCAGTTTCAATAATTGATTACTTTGTTATACAATATAGGTGAGATGTTTGAGGTGCCATCATGAGTCGGAGTGCAATGAAAACATCATGGATCTTACTTTGGAAATAAATGGTTGGGTTGAATCACTTCAGGATGCATTGACACAATTTACAAGTCCTGAAGATCTTGATGGAGATAACATGTATAGATGTGGAAGGTGTGTAAACTCTAAATGCAACCTTCAATGGTAATATCGTACTCAACTTGATTTTAAGTCCGTGTAACCTTTTTTTGGAAAGTAGTCACGTGAATTATTTTTTTCCATTTGGTTCATGTCATACGCGTTTTCTCTTAAATGCTTACGTGGATGTCAAGTGGCAAGCACCAAATGGAAAACACGTCTTACAAGGACTATTTTGCAAAAGAAGATTTCTTAGGGCTTAAATCAAAACGCATGCATAATATGGGGGTTAAAATATGAATGCTTATACGTTATACTTTAGTATATTTTTTACATTACTGATTTTTAATAATTTTTTTTACAATGACCTCAATGTTTGCATATAGACATTCACGTGTACATTTAATTCACGTGTACATTTATCCTCACACAATCGTCTAATCTTGTTCCTAGTTCATATAATATGCAAGACAGTGTAGGACATCCAATTTCATCTTTGCGTTAAGAGTACATGTGACAATCAATTCACCAACAATGACATTTCATTAGGAGAGATTCTTGACTGAACTTGATTAGGACCAAGTTCACCAAAGAGTGTGATGTACACCATGGTCATTATTGTATTTCTTCCATGTTAAATGTTATTTGGTATGCAAGATAGCAAATGAATTAAGATCTTGGAAAATGATGGTTGTTAAAGTCTTTGGTTCTTGTCGTCATCTGTCACGCAAATCTGCACACCTTTGGCTCAATAAAGTGTGTTGAGAAGTAAACGTATACGAAACTCTACTTCCTAAAGAGAGAATAAAGGGAAAAGAAATACCCTCTCCTTCCTATAAAAGAGTCTTGTTTGTGAAGTCATTTTTGTCCCATAAAAGAGTGCCGTTACAAAAGAGGCTATTTTTCATCATATTTAATGTTTTTCTATATGAAAAGTGGCAAGACAAGTTGAATGTGTTATAGTTAGTTAAATGAACAAAAAAATCAAAATATATCCATATTTGATGATTCCTAATAGTCACACATTACTAAAACTTTTAAGCTGTACATTAGTGAACAAGGACTCCTTTTACAGGACGGAGAGAGTAAAACATATTTCATTGAAACATTTTATGAAATTAAAAAGTTGGCATTCATTAACCGCCCTGAATCTTTCTATAACTGCAATATATTCTTTTTGTGTATCATAATAACGTACATTGTTTTTTTCATTCTGATGAAAAATAGGTGTTCTTCATATGTTCCAGCACAAAAGCAGTTGAGCATACAAGAGGCTCCAAATATCTTGACTATTGTCTTGAAAAGATTTCGGGTAATATTTCACTGAAATGCATGCCATTCTTTTCAAATCATCCAAACTTACAAGCTTCATTTAAATACAAAATACTAGTTTGAAAAAAAAGAGATCTGATTGATTTTCTTTCTTTTTACAATGATTACCAGGGAGGGTGTTATGGAAAGATAAACAAGTGCATTAGCTTCCCAGAAATGCTGGACATGATGCCATATATGACCGGTGCTGATGATGCCCCTCCACTTTACATGCTTTATGCAGTCGTCGTCCACTTGGATAGACTCAATGCATCTTTCTCTGGGCATTATATATCCTATGTGAAAGACTCACATGGCAATTGGTTTAGGGTAGATGATACCAAGGTAAAAAAAATTTATTCGTCGCTGTAATGTTTCTGTTCTTAGCAGTTGTCTAGACAAAGCCCGAAGATGCTTTTGTGTGTTGTTTCAGGTTCAGCAAGTGCATATGAGCCAAGTTATGAGTGAAGGAGCATATATCTTATTTTACATGCGGTACGTGTTTCGCTCCTAACTTGGAGTTGGTTCTCTTAACATCACCTAAAATTGTTCATGAAGTTCTTGGTCAAAAACACAGTTTAAGACATAGAGTGCTTCGTTACAGGTCATCTCCTCGGCCAGACAGGACTTGTATCTCCTCTGCACCAAAATCCCAGAAACCTTTGAGGCCAGAGCATGTGAAAGGAACAACAAACCATTACACCTCAGGAAGCATTGTCAGAAATGCAAGCAGAAACAGGCAGCCATTGATGATGGGAATGTACTCTGAGAACATGGACGCGAGCGACTGGTCACTGTTCACCAGCTCCGACGAATCATCCTTCACCACAGAGAGCACCCGCGACTCCTTCAGCACGGTTGACTATGCGGCAGATGGCTCCACCGCCGCCGCCGCCGCATTCGATCCGTTTGCGCCGGATTACGCCACCTCGAGGACGATCGCGTGCAACATGTTCTCGGGGAGTAGGGCCCGCACGACGTTCTTTTCGGAAAAGAAAGGGTTCGTCGTGGATTCGTCGCAGATGGCCGGCGCGAGCCTCAGCAGCGTGGAGGAGGAGGAAGAAGTGATGAACCCTCCTCCTCCTCCTGCAGATGAAGCTTTTTTTGTTGATAGAAGTGTAAATTATGGGTATGTTGTAGATCCCCAGACTGGTTATTATCATTGTTATAATTATCAGTTATAGTGTTATATGTAATGTGATTTGGGAAATGGTGTATAATTAATGCAACATCTTAACCCCCCCAGCTCTAAGAGGATGATGAGAAGAAGAAGAAGAGTAGAAGCTGCTAACTGTGCCTCAAAGTTTTGTTTGTCTTTTTTTTTCTTTTCTTTTCTTCATTGTAAGAGGCACATCTTGGGCTTTTGAATTGACCTTTGCTCTGTCTTGTTCTTGACATTGTTGCAATAAATTGTCATTTCTCTTTTGAAATGTTTGTTTTGCAAAAAGCTAAATAGGAATCGTCAATTTTTCGAATGGAGCATCGGAGGTACTCTAAAAATGCAGTGGCACAGTTGGCCAGTGTTAATGGAAGGAACTGTGCCTAAATATGACTATATGTATATACACCACTAAACTTGTGTCTTAGTAAAATTTTGTGAGTTTGATGTTTATGACATTTCAGAAAATATGTTGACATTGGCTTAACATTTCTAATTTCTGATGAATATTGATTTGTTATGATCCAATATTAAAATATGAGTGTGTTCTTTGATTGAATGTATTCAATTTAGTGAAAAAAGATTGAACAAAATTTACTTGGGAAAGTTGGATTTAGGGCAAACTTGTGGGGGTTTTTTTAAAAATAACTTGTGGGGGTTAAAACGTCATTTTCCACATAAGGGATGCAACTCTAGGGTCAAATTTTGAGGAAAGACCAATTCTTTATTCACATATTCGTGCATGTGCCGTGCGTGTCTCTGTGAACAGATGAATAAGTTAGGGGTAATTTTGGTATTCTAGATGGGCAAAAATCACTTTTTCCATTTTCCAAAACGAACACCAGGACAAAGGAATGTGTGCACAGAGAAACCCTTCCACGAATTTAGGAACAATTAAAATTTAGAGTCTATTTTGACTTTTTTAGTCAAACAATAACACTATTTGACCACAAATTATGAGAAAAATATATTTAGTTATAGTATAAATTCTATATAATTGTGTTTATCTTTAGATAAAATTTTGATATATCAAATTTATATTATTTATTTATTTAGATTATGTTTAATTGATAATCAAAGAATGTCATTGTTCAATAAAAAATTCAAAACATGAAAAGTTTTTAGGATCGGATGGAGTAAAATTTTAGAAAAATATTGACAAAACACATAATTGAAATTGGTTAGAAAATAAAAATAATGGGAGTGATACTTTGTACTATATTTTTTCCTCTTTAATTGAAAAGTGATATAGTGTAAATTTCATTTTTGAGATATTTGAAAGTGAAAAATGTTAAAATTGATTTTAATGCAAAAAAATGTTGAAATTAAGGAAGTGAAGGGAATGTCTTTTCCATCGACATACAATTGAGGTGCACGGAGCATGCGTACGGACAAAACCCCATACCTCAAAAGAAACTTCAAAGAATATGCTAAAGCATGTGCTCATGATTTATTATTCACCAATTTTTTCTGATTAATTAAAATCATACGGAAATAATAAATCTTTTTTAATATGCTCATCATCCATTTGTTCTAAATTAAATTGCTCATTATGCCTACCGAGTCGTTTGTTTGTTATATCGAAATACGGTGCGGTTCGTATGACATTACTCCGTAATGTTATGGAATGATCCGAAAGCACTACAATATCTCATTCATAAAATTGACGTTTCCTACACTCTAATCTTCTGATAAACCACCTACCCCACTTCGACTCGAACACACCCCCACTCTGCACCCCCAAGTTAATTTTGACTTTGGAGTTAAATTTGACTGCAAAGTCAAAATTAACTAGGGGTCGGTACAATTGAAAGGGTGGGGGAGTGTGATCGCGTTAGAGTGGAGTGGGGTGTTTACAAGAGAGTTATGAGGTAGGAACCCTCAATTTCAAGAATGGAGCATCGTAGGGCTCCCAAGACATCTCCTCCTATCAATATATCAGATATGAATGAATACTACCCGAGTACATTATTATATACTCGATGGAATTTACAAAAAAAAGAAAAAGAAAAATATGAAACGTATTTTGTGGTCGGAGAGAGATGTGCATTTTAGGTCGGAGATCAAAAGTTGTGGGAGTTGCGGGACAGATTCCGGGTACATACAACGTAGTTCTGGTTGGCCCATCAACATCTACGTTTCACTCTGTACTAAGCTTACCTACCCTCAACATCACAAAATAATGTTTTTAATAAGAAAAAATGATTGTAGTATCTCTAAAAGATTATCACAGTTTATTTTTTTGGTCAAACTATACCATTTTTTGATCGTGAAGTTTGAAAAAAATATGTTTAGTTGTAACTTGTAATGTAAATCTAGTAAAATTAGATTTATTTTAAAATATACTTCCTCCGTCCGCCAAAAATTTTTCCAGACACTATTCACAAGATCAAACGTAACTCTCTTTATTTGCTTATTTTTACTACTCATTTCATAAAATAATATAGTCTTGTCACCACTAGTTTTGTAAACATTTTCATGTAATTTTTTACTATATACATTTTATTTTTAAATTTTACTCCAATTATCAAATTTATTGAATTTGAAAATAAAGTAGATCAAGTCTTGTAACGCGTAATGAGAAGATCTTAGGTAGATGGAGGGAGTAATTATTACTTCGTAATTATTAAATCTTTTATAATATTTAATTATTTTAAATTATATTTAATTCATGGTAAAAGGATGTTACAAATTGACCAAAAAAGTTAAACTATGGCAATCTTTATTCCGACCCATAATTATCTTCTTTTTTATTTGAATTGTTCAAACATTTTCTTCCTCACCCTCTTCAATTTTCATTTCTCTCCACAAATCAGAGTTACCCACATTCCATTTTATTAAAAATCGTTACAAGTCAAATCCGAAAGATAATTTCAAGATGTAGAGAGTACTCCGTATTATTACGAACCATGAGAAAATACTTGCAGACGATGGGGGGTTATTTCGTCCATATACCATTCATTTGTTGCTCACACAACCGATATAAGACGGATGACAGAAATATTATTTACGCTTCGTTTCGTACACGAAATTAGAATTGAAATTTTATAAAATTGAATTCAAACCAAAATCCACATATTTTTATGTTACTAAACAACCGAATTGATATTTAAAACCTCCAATTTTTTGGTCTAAATTTCGTGTGTCAAGCGGAGTCTTAACATAATTAAACCCAAAAAAAATCTATAAAGTGCTCTATTTGTCTCCAATCAGTAGTTAATAAAGGTCCCAGCACTGTTCACACACCAGTACGTTCCTAATTTGTTTTTTTCCGTTCCATACAAACAAACTTGTAGAATCGGACCCTATTACTGTTTGGTTGCCCAATAATGAACGGTTCTCAATAAACTTTATTATTAGACCCCCTTTTCAAAGTTAAACTTATTATAATATGCCTCCTTTTCATAAAAAAGAAAATTCAAAATATAATTGACACGATTATTAATAAAAAAAATAGAACTGCATGTTTGAAAATAACAAAGTTGAGAGAGAAATCATATGAAGCTGAGCCGCGGATATTTTACTTTAAATAAAAGTGGAATCACATTTTATGAAGAACGAAAAATGAATTAATTTGTAAATAAAATGATTCCAAAGAGTATATTTATACGTTGTTCGAAGTGATATGATAATAATAGGATGGGGGGAGTATAAGATTAAAGATAGATGGATAACAAATTAACAATATTGTGTTGGCTTTGCATGATTAATTTGGCAACTATTTATATTTTTGATAATATTAACTATACACTATTAACAATTGTAACACTGGATTTAAGAATTTAATATCTTATCCTTGACGGTTGTTAGAGAACGAATCAAGTAATTTCCGTGTTAGGAAGCGTTAGATTTTTTACACCCTTTATCTTTTATTTGTGATATTTTTTTAGTTTGATGTTGCAATGAATGAAAGGTAACTTCAAAAAAAAATTTCTTTAAATGAGGTAGGTGCTCATTTATACTCCCTCCGTCCCCAATTTGATTACAAATTGCGGGTTACGGAGTAGAATTTTCTACTTTTTGAAATCATTTTATTTACAAATTGGTATATCAATAAGATATAAAAATTACATATTAAAAAACTACGTCAAAAGTTCTACAAAACAAGAGGTGACAAGAATATTTTATTTTATCAAATAATTAATGAAATCGCGTAAACAAACAAAAGTTATCGAGAGGAGAGAAAAAAAAATTGTAATCCATTTAAGGACGGAGAGAGTACTTATTACTCCTTCCGTTTCATAATTTTCTTCATGTTTATTTTTTTAGTGTCTCCGATGTATTATTTTTATATATCAATAAATATACTACAAAGTATGATTTTTAAAACTTTATTTTAAAATGATTCTATTGATATTTTTTTTAAAATTTAAAATTTATCCCATTTTTTATTGAATATTTTTTGAAGGTTTTTTAATTAAATGCATGAAAAATGAACATTTATCCCAATCTGCTCTATGATATCATCCTACCTCCTAATTTTAGCCAGTGGTTGTTAGAAGCTCAGCAATGAAGACTGAGTCATTAATTGGATATTAAAAAAGAAAAAAGAAAAAAAGAAACAAAAAAGAAAATTAAAAAATGTACAGTACTTGTACAGACAGCAGTCGTAGCACGCAAAGCCACAATATTTTGTGACCTTTATAAATTTGAACCCCAAACGTTCGTTTCGAATTCTCTCCTCTCTCTCTCTCTCTCATTCCCCACCGGCACCGCCGACCGTCAGATCGCCGGAAACCCCTCGTCCCGACCCTCCGCCATCGCTCGGTTAATTTCCCGGAACAAGCCGGTCTCGGTCTCGACCCAGATCTGTTTGTGATTCTGGAGGTTTGTGTATACTTTTCGAGAGATCGAGGGTTCTAGCGAGAATCTGATGTGTTAGGCGGCGCGGTGGTTGAGTGTCGGTGAAGTTTTGAATTGACTTGGGAACGGGGCTTCGCAATCTTCGTCTCGAATCGGTGTCGGTGGGTATAATTCGCCGGATTCCGCCAGCTTTTCACCGACATTTCTTATCCGGTGCACCAGTTGGAAGATGCAGCAAGATCAGCGCAAGAAGGTTATCTTCCTTTCTATTTCCTTCGTTTACGTTTCTAGATCCATTTCTACATCTAAATTCGAGATTTGGTCTTTAAAAAGAAGGGATCTTTGCAGGAAAAGATAAGATCTTGTTATTTCCCGTACATTTCAAGCTAAGCTCTCATATATTTCTTATAATCAAGCATCCGAATTTGTGCTTCGCGAGTCTTGTTTGCCTGTTCTGGTCACTACCCTTTTCTTTATTGTTATGTTTTCTTATATGCAGAGTTCCAAAGAGATGGAGTTCTTCACAGAGTATGGGGATGCAAACCGGTACAGAATCCTTGAGATTATAGGAAAAGGAAGCTATGGGGTTGTTTGTGCAGCCATAGACACTCATACAGGAGAAAAAGTGGCAATTAAGAAAATAAATGATATTTTCGAGCACATCTCTGATGCAATTCGGATTTTGAGGGAAGTGAAGTTGCTTAGGCTTTTGAGGCACCCGGATATTGTCGAAATCAAACGAATTATGATTCCTCCTTCACGGCGGGACTTCAAAGATATATATGTTGTTTTTGAGCTTATGGAATCTGATCTTCATCAAGTTATTAAAGCCAATGACGATTTGACGCAAGAACACCACCGCTTTTTCCTCTATCAGATGCTGCGTGCTTTGAAATATATGCACACAGGTGATATGATAGTCCATTTTGTATTCATATACTCCCCTTGCATATGTACATAGTTTAATTTGTTCTATTCTGACCTTAAAT